AACACCCAGGGTCGACCCTAAAGTCAAGTAATCCTATAGGGACTCTTCTTGAATTCTCTTATAATGATCTTACCTACTAAATGCTAGAGGTTAAGATCAATATGTGGAATTTCAAGCTGAGTAAAAAGAAGAGTTTTGAATTTCTAATGGTGGGGTACCTCTTCTAATTTTCTAAGACTAGTCAATAGGAAAGTCCTATGGCTAGACCTAGGCTACTAAAGAAGTTTTCTAGACCTCAACCAAAAGTGAGGTCAACACGCTAATGTAAGAAAAACTCCCTAAATTAAGAGTATTCTGGGCAACCCTCAAGTTGTAATTAACTAAGTGGGATACATCTTCTTGGGAGCACTCTAGACCCTATAAGACAAACACACATGAATCTCTAGGTGTGGGTAGTCTACATAAATATTCTTTTGTGGATATTAGTTTAATACACTTCCATCTAATCTTTTTTGAGTAGACATACATGACTTTTTTTTGCAAGGTTCATCACACGTAGGCTCTCCATGTTCTTTCTCTTGTTTGTCGTCTTGGTCATATGTCTGTTTCTTTTGATTCCTCTCTTCTCTCGATCATTCACAAGATCCAGAAGAGAGAATTATTCGGAAAATGGAAGTATACGACGATGGACAAACTTATGACTCCTTTAAAACTAAAAAGTTAAAGGAAAAAAATCATGCATCCTTGCACCATCAGCATATACGTTGCTAGTGTGCTCGTGACAGATATCCACTATCTCCTGATCTATTCAGTCTCTATGACTTGGTCGTAGTGCACTGGATCACTTTGCATTTGCATGTGCATCCGTGATCATCTAGACAACAAAACTGGCTCGCCAGCTAAGTGACTCCCTATTAGTCATGACATGACAACTAGTATTGTCTGTGAGGACGTCCCGATGGGCAATACATGCTATCGCAACATGGCTGTCATGTGTATATTGTGCTAAGGTTCCAAGGGATCTAATATGTGCCATTTATGCTTTTCTTTTCTTAGGACCTATTTTAAAGTATACAAATTTATATTTTTATTACTTACACATCATACTTACAAAATCTATTTGGAATCTACTTGAATACTTAGCGTAGAGCGTACGTGAGGTTAATTTTTTCAAAAGATTTTACAAAACCTTCATATAATAACACCTCTTTGAATTCTTGGATTTTTAGGATGGGGCGGGTGAAGTCAAATACGACAAAACATACGATAGCCTACTGACATAAACATGTACTCTCTTAGATGTTGGTTAGGGCACTATATTAGATGGTGTGCAAGGTTATGAACTAGAATGCTAGGCGTTCTTTTTGATGACCTGACTATAATGCTCTGTAGGTTTGGTTGCCTTAACCATGCATCATCTTTTGTGCATTTGGCGTGCTTGCATGCTTAATGTTTTGATATGCATAATATTATATTAGAGCAAGCTTCTACAAGGGGTGATGTCATATATATGCATACACACATGTAAAATAAAAGGGGGAGCATGTGATGATTTGCATGCTAACATTTTCTTGCAGGTGCTGCTAAGCTCCCACATAAGACATGACCCGTATGCGTTGCATGTTTGTCGGCTTTCCTGCTAACATTTTCTTCATGCAAGTTGGGTCCTTTCTTGATTTTTCCTATGTACTTTTAGATTCCCTAGGAGAGTCCCATTTTAGAAATAAGGTACAAGCACATGCTTTGAGGTGCCAGGAGGGTGAAACCACATGACAAAGTCTAGAAGCAGCAAACGCATGTCCCGTACCTGAATTCTAAGTTTCATTTATGCATAGAATTAAAATCGGGCATGTATATGTAGAGTCCAGTCACCCCTTTCTTTATTTTTAGGACATGTCGCCGACCCAGAGGAACCAACTTTTTCATTATTTTACTTGGCTTGTTCAACTATTTTTTCCTGAATTATTGCATGCTTGTGTTGTTTCCCCTATTTCTTTCTGGTTATATTTGGGATGCTACAAAAATTATAACTCAGGCTCTTAGGACATTAAAGTTTTAAATTTTTCTACAAAAATCCTAATAAAAATTTAAAGATGAATTAAAATTTAAGATTAAAAGATTTAGAACTTTCAATAGCCTACTTTTACTTTTCTGCATGTCTTTGGGCGTGATTGCAAACAGGTTTCATGATATAGCTCTCACTCAAGTCATAATTAATAGGACATTCACAATATTTATGGACTGCTCTAGATAACTGCATTATTTGCATGTCTTGAGCTTGTGCTTCTCCAACCCAACTGACCCAACATATCTTTCTATATAAGAGGTTATCTAGTGTGCCTATGTCGTTAGAAGGCTCCCCTACTTAGACGAGGTGAAAGTCCTTTCATTGGGAGCATTTAAGCTTTGTACCTGAACATCCCTTTCTCTTCATTCTAGCGGAATCCTCTCCACTTCGGTGGGTATAAGTCCTGCCTCTCAGAGCTCCACCTTATAGTCATAGGATATATTTTCGTTAATTTGACCATAAGGCTATTGAGATCCCTACGGATGACACAATTCACAGATTGCTTATTGAAGATTTTTGGACGTATTGGGTTGACTACCTTCACGACTATGTTGGCTTAGGGTCCCAGTAGCTTGGGATGACAGATCCGTAGTGCCCTGACCCAGCTACCACTACCTTCTAAGGATTAATCCTCCCTTTCTTTGACTATCCACTTTGAGCCTAGTTGCTCCTTTTTCTTTCCTTGATATCATCTTGACGACCTGATTACGATTGAGCTGTCGCTCGTTTGAGATACGATGATTTGTCTTCTGCCTCTATGACCCATATGTGCTTTGACGTATTTGGATTCCAGGTCAGAATGACTTGGTTATTTCGTAAGCTTCATTTGAGATACGATTGAGTTTTTTAGGAATGGGACCGTGAGAGATTCACTCTTTGCCCTGTGGCTTAGCAGGAGCTTTCAAAGCATCGAAACATTCTAATGCAAAATAACTGTCCTTTGATAACCCTGTGTTAGTCATCACTACTAATGTAAGCAAAACTCTTTTAGATTAAGAGTATTTTTAGGCAACCCCCAAGATGTAATTAACCAAGTGAGATTTATCCCATTAGGAGCATTCTAGACCCCATAATAGACAAACACAAATGAATCTCTGGTTGTGAGTAATCTATGTAGGTATTATTTCGAGGATATTTGTCAAAGTTTCTTCTGCCTGATCTTGTCTGGGCAGACATACTTGGCATATCCTTGTGAGGTATATCACACGTATTCTCTTCACATTTTCTTTCTTTTGTTTGTCTTCTTCATTATATGTCCCTGTTTTTCTAGTTCATTTCTTCTTCAGATCATTCTTATGATCCGAAAGAGAGACCTATTTGCAACAGAGAATTGTATGACAATAGACAAGCTGACGATTCTTTCAAAAATAAAAAAAAGAGAAAAAAAAAGAAATAACCACTCGACTGATTGCCTCAGCCGACCAACTCTAGGCTCAGTAGCCACTCAGTTGGTCAAATTCAAACAAGTCAACCAACAAATTATCATCCCATTAGGATTCAAATTATATTAAAGATATGGTATGAAATCCATATGATTAATTAAAGCATCAATGGTATTAAGAGCGGGTTCTATAACTGCTCTTTCCT